ACACAGATTTTGAGAAGAAACTCCTATCAGAATTGAGGGAGAAGTTCCCCTTATTATAGGAACGGAGAGAAAGGTTCCTCCTTTTGGAACAAAGAGAGACAATCCTTTTATAGTAAGAGTGTGATGCATTGCGTGCAGAGTGTTTGGAGGAGTTGAGAGTCAAGGATAGAAGGATGTTTACAATAAGTGTAGGAGATAATTTGAATGGTGTGAGTTCAAGAGCAAAGATTGAATCCATTATGGATATCAAGCACTTTAGTAGTTATGAGAGGCTGATAAACAGCACAGCCTATGTTCTTACATTTTTAGGTAATCTGAAGAAGCTGAAGAGTACTGATGAGGATACCAGAAAGCCAGACTATGAAGGGTATCTGAGAAGAGCAGAAGTGATGTGGATTGGTGCAGCTCAACAGGATCATATCAAAAGAGACTGGATGAATCAATTTACACTCTACTTGGATGGTGATGGAATTTAGTGGTGTTGAGGGAGATTAGGTAATGCTAACTTACCCTAAAATACTAAGCATCTAGTCATTCCACCAAGGGATCATCCGTTCACTACACTAGTAGTTAGGAGAGCTCACCAACACGTAGTTCATTCAGGAGTTAAGGATACACTTTAAGAAGTCAGAAGTCATTTTTGGATACCTCAAAGAAGAGCAATGGTTTGCAGTTTTATTCATCATTGTGTGATATACAGGAGATATGCTGTTTCCAGCTATAAAGCACCACCAGCACCATTACCAGACTTCAGAGTTTAGCAAAGCCATCCATTCACATCTGATGGTGTCGACAACCCTGGACCACTGATGATCAAACATCATGCAGAATGCCCACACACAACATGTCACACACACTTCATACAGGGGTAAACAAAATACATACACTTTATGCAATGACAAGGTATGGGTATGCCTTTTTACTTGCTGTGTTACTCGAGCAGTACATCTGGAGGTAGTGACTGATCTCTCATTCCAGAGTTCTCTGAGTGACTGATCTCTCATTCCAGAGTTCTCTGAGATGTCTCAAGAGATTTATATTGAGGAGAGTACTTCCATCCAAAATTGTCTCAGACAACGAAACTACTTTCAAGGGAGCATCTAAGTCCATACGTGCCATCATGGAACACCCTGAGGTGCAGCCCTTTGTGCCCAGGGTTAACATCAAATGGAGTTTTAATATCGAGAGAGCGCCATGGTGGGGAGGGTTCTTTGACAGGATGGTTCAGTTGATGAAAAGATGTTTCAGGAAGCTTGTTGGTCAAGCTAAACTCACTTATGAAGAATTAATAACTGGAATAACTGAAGTGAAGCTAATTCTTAATTCAAGACCACTCACTTACATGTCTTCAACTGATTTAGATAAACCAATTACTCCATCCCGCATAATACTTGGCAGGCGTTTACTTGACCTACCACACTTTTTGTGTACGAATCAAGACGATAAGGACTATAATTCTACCTACTCTATGTCTTGACAAATAAAGTACTTAAACATCATACTCAATCACTTTTGGTCTCGAAAAGAAGAGAATACTTAACTGAATTAAGAATTCATCGGAAAAGATGTCCTGATGAATCTAATATAACTACTGGAGATGTGGTCATAGTTCATGATGACACACACAGAGAACTCTGGAGACTAAGAGTATAAGAGAAGACACTTAAAGGAAAGGATAATATGATTAGAGGAGCTGTGGTACGTATTAAAGGACGCTCTCATATTTTGTCATTTCTAAGGTGACTGATACAACGACTCTATCATATGGAAGTGAGATCATTTGAATGAAGAGATCTCATCTAGCGAGAAGGACGGGAACGTTTCTGGTGCGATGGAAGAGATTCTTATGATTCACAGTCTGTGGATATGCCCCCTCAACCAGAACCATCTGCTGGGTCCATCCCTCCACCAGAACCATCTGCTGGGTCCATCCCTCCTACACATCCTACATCTACTCGTAGATCTAGTCGTTGTGCCGCTCTGCAGGCTAGAGATCAGATTATAACTGCACTGATGAATAAACACTTGAGATTGACTTTGAGACACATTTTTATTATTATTGTATTATTATTTTTTTTTTGTTGCGTTTCTAATTACTACTAGCTTATGGAATGAGAAGGAGATCAATGTTTTTAATTATGTGTTATTACTTGTAATTTTATTGTTATTGTTATTATTATTATTGGTGTTGAATAGTGTTACTATTCAAGGTGGGAGTGTTTGGAATCTTCAAGAATCCTAATGATTAATTATAAATAATTATTAGTGATTGTCAATAGTTATTATTCATGGATTGTCAAACTATAAATATGACCATTTTATTATTTATATTCACTAATATATAATACTACTACTACTTATTGTTGATATTGTTGAAAGAGAGGAAGGTGATTGACCTAATTCATTCACAAAAGATATTTTAACTATCGACTCCCCAACCTGAATTTGTTGTCAACAGTCAATTC